GCCACGCCGCAATCCCATCTCCACCAGTCTCCTCTCGGGATCTTGGGCATGCACGCTCACGCGCCCGGCGTGAGTTTTAAGCCACCGGGTCCAGGTCACAAACCCCGGTCGACTACGTGGGAGTCCAGCGACATAGCCATTACGCTAACTGCCGGTCCCCTACTTAGACTTTTTAAAAGAGGGCCGGGAATGAGCCACCTGTGGCCGTGGGCCCTGGGCCCTGCCCCGCTGAGCCCACTGGTGTCTCGCAGATCCAGGGCTCCCTGAAGCATCTCCAGGCCATTGTCCAGTACAAGGAGGACCTCCAGGTGAAGCAGGAGAACCTGTATTCGGTAGGTCAGAGCCAGGCAAGGCGGGGATGGGAGCCCGGCTCTGCTCGGTGAGCCTAGGCTGCTGATTGAGGAGGACCTTGGGGACATGTCTGGACACGGTCGTCACCCTGGGAGCCCACCCGCTGCCCTCCCCATAGTGGAAAGGTTTCCTGAACCTTGCAAAGGCCGTCCCAGATGACACGCTGGACAAGGTCGTCGACTCCCAGAGGCCCAACCAGTGCTGTACCGTGGTGTACAGCCTGGCTTCCACGGGCCCCTCGAAGGCCGTGATGCTGAGCCATGACAACGTGAGTTCCTGCCCGGACGTCGCTCTGTGCGCACCGGCCACGCAGCCGGTGCCGGGGGCTGAGCACGGGTGCCTTTCAGATCACCTGGACCACAGCGGCCACCATCCAGAGCCTCTGTTACAAGTGCCCTCCAGAGGGCCAGGAGGTCCTCGTGAACTACCTCCCTCTCAGCTACATCGGGGCCCAGATCTTCGATATGTGGGTGGCCATCTCAGTGGCTGGAGCCCTCTACTTTGCCCAGCCGGACGCCCTGAAGGTGAGTGCAGCTCCCTGACCCCCTGGCAGGGCAGGTGCAGACGAGGGGCTGCCCCGAGTGGAGAGCTTCAGACCAACTGGAGATCTCTGTCCTGCCCCATTCCCCAGCAGGCTGTAGGGCCTCAGCCTTTCGCGCTCGCTGGGTCTCAGTTTCCTCAGCTGCGAAGCAAAAGGGGTGAAGCAGATGGGAGTTGATGTCGTGGGGGATGGAAAGCGTGTGCCCCATGCCCCTTAGTGGGGGGTAGAATTGCAAGTGCAGGAGGTGGAATCGAGCCACTCAAAGCACATGATGGAAACTTGTGTCCATTGACATCCTCTGTCTCTTGGTCTCTGTTTCTCTGCATGCGGCTCTCTCCCCTATTCCGTCCCTGTCTCTGTATCATTCTGTCTCTGGGTCTTTATCTGTCCGTCTCTCTCCCTTCCTCTATATCAGGGGTCCCCATTCTCCAGGCCACATACAGCCCGTGGAACCTGGCGACACAGCAGGAGGTGAGCGAGCAACGCTTCACCTGTATTTACAGCCACTCCCCATTGCTCCCATCACCACCTGAGCTCTGCCTCCCGTCAGGTCAGTGAGAACTGGACTCTTACAAGAGCTCGAACACTATTGTGAACAGCACGTGTGAGGGATTTAGGCTGTGGGCGCCTTACAAGCGTCTAATGCTTGATGACCTGAGCTGGAGCTGAGGCAGTGATGCTAGCACTGGGGAACAGCTACAAATGCTGATGAACATTAGCAGAGAGGTCTGACGGCACAGACTCCATCGTAACTCAGCTGCTCGCTCATTCTTACCAAAACCCTATCTGTGAGGGGCAAGTGACAACGAAACCACATCTGATGGCAGGCTTTAAGTCGGAATCCATCTCCTGGCCCTGGCCTGTGGAAAAACTGTCTTCCATGAAACTGGTCCCTGGTGCCAAAAATGTTAGGGACTGCGGCTCTGTGTCTCCCTGTCTCTGTCTCTCCCTATCTTTGTGTTTCTGTCCCTCTCTCCCATCTCTCCCCACCCTTCTTTATTTCTGTGTGCCTCTCCGTCTCTCTTAAGCTCTGTTTTCGTGTCTCTTTATCTCCCTCTTCATCTCTTTTTGTCTGTCTCTCCTCTCTCTCTCCCTCTCCCCCCCTCGTCTCTCACTCCCTCTCTTTTTATGCCTTCATCTTCTCTTTCTCTCTCTCTTCCTCTTCCTCCTCCTCTCTCTCTCCGTTCCTCCCTCTCTTTCCCCTCTTCCTTTCTGTATCTGTCCCCTTCTCTCCTCCCCATCCGGACACCCTAATAGAGTGGATGTGACCAGCTGAGATGGCCAACATCTCACGTGTGTTGTCCTACGGGGACGGGGACAGGAACTCTGCCATGCCTGCCTGGACAGGGTCCTGTTGGAGCTCTGATGGTTGCTAGAACCACCACCCTGCACCACCCACGACAGCTCCCGGCTGCCAGTCCCAGGCCAAGGATTTCAAATCCTGGCCCAGAAGCAAACTGAGAGGCCAGATATGGGTCACCGTGGGCGGTAGGACTGAGGCGGCCTGCTGTCCGTGCAGGGCTCTCTGATGGACACACTGCGGGAGGTGAGGCCCACCACCTTCTGCGGTGTCCCATGGATGTGGGACAGGATGTATGACGCCATGAAGACCAGACAGCTCGACTCTAGTGGCTTCTGGAGGATGATCGACAAGTGGGCCATGAGGCTTGGACTCCAGACCAACAGGAGGCGGATGTCTGGGTGAGGCTGGGCCACCGGGGCTGCCGCGGGGGCTCCTGGGGGCCGGCGTGGGCCGTCCCGAGGCCACGTTCTGCTCCTGGGTATCCACTTGTCAAGGCACGTTCACCCCCCGCTGTGCTTCCGCCTGGCCAAGAAGCTGACCTTCGACGGCGCCAAGAAGGCCCTCGGCCTCGACCACTGCCAGCAGTTCTTCAGCATGGGCCTGGGGCTGTCCAGAGTGACCCAGGAGTTCTTCCTCAGCCTCGACATACCCATCTTCCAGCTCTACGGCCTGACCGAGTGCACGGGTGTCCACACGCTCTCCAGCTACGAGGCCTTCCAGGTGCTGAGGTGGGTCCTGGGAGAGGGATGCACAGTCTGTCAGCAAGGGCCAGGCAGCTCCCGCCTGTCTCCTGCCACCCTCTGCGTCTCCGTCCCCCTGGGGAGTATGTATCCAGAAGAAGGAAATGAACACGGGCCAGCAGGGGGCGCTGTGGCAGAGAGAGCTGGGCCCCACACGGCCGACTGCGTGGTCGAAGTTGCCCCGGTGGCCTGAAAACCACGCTGGGTGTGTGTGCAGTCGTGCCCCCAAATCCCGAGGGGCTGGAGAAATGGAGGAGAGAGGATTGCCGCGTGGACATGCCGCATGGTGGGGGGTACTTCCCTCTCGCTCTCTGTCTCTGTGTTGCTCTCTGGCAAGCATGTGCACCTTCTGACAAATTAAAAACAAAACCAAACAAAAACAAACAAACAAAAAAACGAAAGGAGCCAGGGGGCCGATGTAGGGACACCCTGGATCCCTTTCTGATTTTTATTTTTATTGGAAAACACCATTTTTACAAATGGCAAATTACTTTTTTTTTTTGGAGAGGTTTTTGCTATAGGGCTCATGCGCTCGCCAGAGAGACAGAAAGATAGAAAGTGAGAAATCACGGTTGGCCACACACAATCCCGTCGCCTCCATTCTCCGCTCGGGATCTTGGGCACACACGCACACGTGCCCTGTGTGAGTTTAAGCCACCAGTTGCTTAAACTCACGCCGGGCGCGTGTGCATGCGTGCCCAAGATCCCGAGAGGAGAATGGAGGAGATGGGATTGTGGCGTGGCCATCCCCCCTGGGGGTGATTTCTCTTGATTTCTGTCTCTGTCATTCTGGTGAGCGCACATGCCCTATAGCAAAAACCTCTCAAACAAACAACAACAACAACTAAAAACAAGTCCCAGACTGGCAGCTTGCTTTCTCACTTTTTCTCTCTCTCTCACTGTGTCCCTCTCTGGTCAAATTAAAAAATAAGCGAATAAATAAAGTTAAAAAAAAAAAAAAAGGAAAAGAAATCAGATACAGGCCAACCCATGATGCTACATTACAACATGGTGGAAAGAAGCGAAGTAGAAGGGGACAGCATTCCCCACGTCCTGTCTTGCCCTCCCGTGTCCCCAGCTGAATGAACGGTGCTCTCCCATTGAGTCCCACCTCTTAGTGGTCTTACCATGTCCCAAAGCCATTACACTCCCCAAACCATCACCAGATCTCCAGAACACGAACCTTTGGGGGACCAGCCATTATCTGAACCCCGGCACATGTGCGACCCATCGCCACCTGCTGGCAGTGTCTGTGGTTACAGTATGGAACCACATGTCAATGAGCCTCGCCTTCCTGGCCCCTGCGGTCCAAGCAGAGAAAACCCTAAATAGATAGATAGACCAGCTCCTAGATAGACCAGTCTGCACAACACGTCAACGGTCTGAAGGGAAATGGGGTCAGCAGGGGTGGAAGCAGACCTAGCACGTCATAGCATCTCAGTGAAATCTCACAGACGGATTTCCTGTTCTCCGTTGAGTGCCCGTCCGTTCGAGAAACCTGTGGGTGAGAATATGGAGCTTGCATCACGTGCGGGGCTGAGGATGGACGTAAGCCTGGCGAGTCAGCTGGCTTTACCATAACAGGAGGCTGCAGAGCGGGCAGCTGGGGCCAACTGTGGTTCACGCACTCACAGTTCTGGAGGCTGGAAGTCCAAGGTGAAGGTCCCAGCTGGCCCAGTCCCTGCAGAGGGTAGAAGACACTTTCTGTGTCCTCCCCTGGCAGAGAGAGCAAGTTCGTTAGGGCTCCTTCTTATAAGCGCACTCATCCCACATGGGGTCCCCATCTTTAGGGCCTCATCTAATACTAATCATCTCCAAAGGCCCCACCATTGAATACCATCACGTTGGGGGTTAAAGATTCAGCATAGGAGGAACCAGCAGTTAGCGTAATGGCTATGTCGCTGGACTCCCACATAGTTGACCATGGTTCGCGTCCCGGACCTGGTGGCTTAAAACTCATGCCAGGCGCGTGTGCGTGCATGCTCAAGATCCCTAGAGGAGAATGGAGGAGAAGGGATTGCGGCGTGGCCATCCGCCCTGGGGGGTGATTTCTCGCTTTCTGTCTCTCTGTCTGTCTCTGTCTGGCGAGCGCACGCGCCCTATAGCGAAAAACCTCTCCAAAAAAAAAGATTCAGCACAGGAATCAGAGCACACAGCTGGGTCCATAGAAGCGTGTGTCCTGAGTGCTGGCCAAGCCCAGGGTTTTGTTTTTGTTTTTGTCATAGGGCACGTACACTAGGAGAGAAACAGAGAGAAATCACGCCCCAGGAGGGGATGGCCATGCCGCAATCCCTTCTCCATTCTCTTCTAGGGATTTGGGTACACGTGATTTTCAACAGCTGGGTCCAGGATTCAAACCGTGGTCAGCCATGTGGGAGTCCAGCATCTTAACCACTATGGAAAGCTCAAAAGATGGAGCCCATGCATCCAAAGGGTGTCCCTTCCTCCAAGCTGGGCTCCAGCTGAGCACGACTGGCACCACCGTCCCGGCCGCTGCAGGGCCTGGCCTGTCCTGCTCACCCTTGATGTTGCCCATGACTGTTATCCAGGAAACCCAGGTCCCCGGTGTGCAGCCCACCTGCTGCCCCTCCCCCCCAAGACCAGTTTTAAGGCCCCTTCCCTGAGTCTCCTGAGAGCCTGGGAAGAGAGTAGGGCAGGTAGACGTCCAGGTGCCTCAGTAGCCACCTTGAGCTTGGAGGGGTTGAAGTTCCAGTCTGCTGGTCCCCAGAGCTAAGTGAGGGTGGGACCCCTCCTTCTCACCTGGATTGTATTCATTGTCCTCACCCCTGCCTGGGAAGCCTCAATAGTTCCACACTGAAGATGTCCTGCCTTGTCCCCTGGCTGGTTGGTGGGCCCCTGGAGGCTGGGGTGGGTGGTGCAGGTGTGATGCAGCCACGTCCCCTTCAGCCTTGGTTCTGAGGCAGGGCTCAGCCCGGCGGTTTTCCTCCTGTCTGCTCCCCACTTCGGATCAGTGTCTCTAGGGGCCAAAAGGAAGGAGAAAAGACTTGGGAGTGGAGAGGGTTTGTGTTTAAGGGGAAGCGGGATTATGAGTGGGTTGCTGGGGCACCCCTGCCCTGGGGGGGTAGAATTGTGTCTGACACCTCACGTCTAACACTTTCCTCCCTGCCATGGCCCGAAGCTGCGGGAAGGGGCTCCCCGACACACACACCAAGGTGCCGGAGGAAGATGAGAACAAAATCGGGGAGATCTACCTCTGGGGCCGGAACATCTTCATGGGCTACCTCAACAACAAGGAGGGCACGGAGAAGAAGATGGACAGCCACGGCTGGCTGCACACCGGGGACCTGGGTTTCCTGGATGACAGCGACTTCCTCTACGTCATGGGCAACATCAAGGGTGAGCAGGACAGGCCAGGCCCTGCAGCGGCCGGGACGGTGGTGCCAGTCGTGCTCAGCGGGAGCCCAGCTTGGAGGAAGGGACACCCTTTGGAGGCATGGGCTCCATCTTTTGAGCTTTCCATGCAAAGAGGCCGCCGTGGGCCCTGGGAACTCCTCTGCAAGATGGGGCTGGTAGGGGCCAGCAGGTGGCATGATGGCTAAGGGCGCTGTACTCCCACGTGGCCGGCCGTGGTTCAAGTCCCAAACCTGGCAGCTTGCTTTCTCACTTTCCCTCTCTTTCTCACTCTGTCCCTCTCTGGTCAAATTAAAAATAAATAAATAAAATTAAATAAAATA